CGAAGAAACGTGAATCATTCGCCACTGGCGCCAATCACGGATCACGGATATATGTATATCAGAACGGATGTCCCGGGTTATGGCGAGAAACGCGTCTTTCCACGCGGTAAATGTAAAGTTGATCGGCAAAATAGCTGTCATCATCGTGTCGTTTGGTAGCGGCTTAAACGCGACACAACGAGACTCCAATGAAGTCATCCCTCGTACATCTTCTACCAGCAGCCCTTCTTCCTCCGTCTCCCCTCGCATTCGTCACGTTGCACAGTCGAGGACTCTGGCGCGCAAAGTTCTCTCTCGGCGGCGCGAAGGAGAGAAAGAGACGAAGACAGAGCGAGCCGAGCGCGGCCGAGAACAGCCGAAGCGGTGCGACCATGTGGCGATACCACGATGACAGAAGCGCTGTCAGTGTCACTGCGACTGCCGTCCGACGTGGTTGGGTGCGGACATTTTTACGTCGCGTTCTCGCGGTCGGATTCTTTTCGTCTCCCTCCTTTTTTTCTTTTTGTTCCTTTCCCCCGCTTTTCTCCCTCTATCTCGTCTCGCTCTCAGGACGGCCTATCGAATTCGCCGCAAGGTCGACAACGTTGACGACGTTTTCTCGCACGCGCTCGCGAGTGACGTCAAGACGATTATCAGAAAACGCGCAAGGAACGTGCTTCGCTTCGTTTCTGTGAAAGGAAACGCGATCGGTTCAGGTTAGGCACCCAGGGCCCCCGACGATAGTTTCGCGAGGTCGTCTCATCCGTTCTGCCATTCGTGCAAGGTGAGTCGAAAAATCATTCCCATTTTAGGTAGTTGCGAAAAGACGAAAACAAAAGTGTCCTTGCGTCTGTCGCTTATTGCGCTCTTAGTACAACGTCGATAATGAAGCTTATTCCCGGCTGTTTAACAGCGGCTCTCGATCATGGCGCGATGGAATTCAATTCGACATCGTGTTGCAATTTCGCCGCGAACGCGCCGCGGGTCGTCTCGCGCCGATAACAATTCCGCTCTTTTAATCGCCGCCATCATTTTTTACCACGCTTCGAGCGCGGCGGAAAATTAATATCGCGTACGCCGGGAAATCCCAAGCGCGCCAATCCATGCATCGGCGAAAAAGATAATTATTACGCGCCTTGTGTATTTTCCACTGCCTTTTCGTTATCGGTCTTCGCTTTTGTTTTTTTTCCTCCATTCGCACTTTAGACTCGCTCGGCACGATTTCGCGCGCATAGCGTCGTTTATGTAAACGAGCTTTTTAGACTAATTGAATAACGCATATATTATTTTCTGTCTTGACGGTTCTTTGCACATAATCACTTTATAGGAGTTTCGCAGCGGATGCACAACAGCACATTAACTGCACACAACGTGTGTAAGAAAAGAATGACATAGAAAAATACTTTTCCATTATATACTTTACGAACATCTATTTGTAAAAATTCAGTTGTTCATTAGGATGAAATTGTCGCTACAGTATATCAATATTTTCGGAGATAAATGACATATTGAAATTATACGTTAATATTTATTTAATAATACAGAGACACGCGATATAACATAATGTCGATTCGAAAAAAAAAACGTGTGACGACATCGTCGCGCCGATTGACGTCACATCATGCTAGATAATCGCAGCGCATAATGACATATCTCACGTACATCTGCGCGACGTATCAAGAGTTAATTTTATAAATGGCACGAAACATTGCTACAACGATTTAATTTTCTGGAAAAATGTATCTTTCTCTGGAATAATATTCGACTACTTCGAATCGTGATGTTAGCCAATGGCTTTGTAAATCTCGACCAGTGTGGTCTTCCGGGAAATCCCAATCATGTTGCAGATCTATATTTTTCTGAATATAACGCGTAAACAACTCTCGACATAGTTCCTTCCTGCCCTGACCACGACGAAAACAACGAGGATGAACATTGCATTTTTTTTTTACAGAAATATAACGCAATGTTTTTCGCTTTCCTTTTTTCTAATATGTAATTAATATCGTAATATTTTTCGCAATATTTTTCTTTCACTCAATGAAAGATTTGAACACAATTTTGCGAGAACTATTTCTTTAATCATATATATATTTTTCGTATATTTATTTGGTGTATTCAATTTTCGCGGCGCATATCGCATAAAATGATTGGATTTCTCTTGCGCGATGCGCTTCTTTTCTATTTGCATACGCTGCAATTCGCGCGAGCAAAAAACAGAGCCGATCCGTTACGATATATTCGGAACATACACGACTGTTATCATGTTTACATTCTTTGTTCTCGACGTGCCACTGGCATCGACACGTTCGCGCCGTTGAAAAAAAATTGTTCTTTCAAGTCGCGGAAATATACGGATACACAAATACGCGTTACACAACATATATACGCATCTATCTACGATAAACATAATTTATTTACCGACATAAAACTTGAAATTTTTTTCTATCGACGAAAGTTAATGAAAGTTAATTTAGTAGTGCGAAATTTTATGACATTCGAATAATAAAAATATTTTTTACACGAGATGAATAAAAAATAAGCGCGTATAACTTAAACATATAAAAAAAAATATTGTGTCTCGTTATCTTCGTCGAGAATTCATTAGTGAATTTTTAAGACGACACAAAAGCGGACGGAAACGTTAAGCTTGGTAAAAACGGAGGTAAAAGATAGAGGTTTCCTTTGTTATCCAAGGTTTTGCTCTCGTGGCGGCTTTCGACCGCGCTTTTTTTCCGGCGATCGCAATAAAGTATAGAGCACGCTATTTCTGACGTATAGTTGCGTTATTATTTACCGCGTAATATCTAATCGCATGATTAACCGCGTATGCGAAGGGCGATAGAAAGAGATGGAGGAGGAGAAAGAGAATGCATTGGACGTACAAATAAATAATACGGCACGGTTCTCTTTCGATCTATGTCGATTTGCTCCAACTATGTTCGTTACGCAACCACGCGCGCTATATTATATCAAAATAAGCGTAATCTTCGGCTGTAAACACGATCCGATAAAAAAACTCGATCCAATGATCGAGACGGGTTTACGCCTAGAATTCACTATATTTTTTCTATTACGTTTTAAAATATGAAATTGTATATATATATTTAGAAATTAAAAATTTTATAAACTTTTTTAATATACAATTTTGAAAGATAAATCAAATTTTATCTTAGAAAATCGTTAGAGTGAAATGTGCAGAAGAAAAATCTTGAAAGCGCACTTTTTTCTCCTCCAGCGATCTGAAAAATTCCAAATATCACTGAAAAATAATGAACATAATATATATCCCGTTAAATTTATGTTCACATATAATATAGCACTCTTTCGCGACAATGGTCATTCTAGTGACATGTGTTTAGTGTTGGTGAAGTCTGTAACAGGCTCGGCTGGTCAAACACGCGGATTGTTTAGTATAACCTGGTTGCCACGTGTTTTCATATCATGGTACGATAAGCTGGTTTTAAATGTCCATATTGTGTTCGTAGAGTCTCACTTACAAATAGATTTTTTTGACGAGACATATTGGATTTCTGATAGAAGGAATGTTTATCACGCATATAAAAATTTCGCCTATAATTGTGCGATATTAGCATTAATTTTTAAAATGTAATGCAAACATTTTTAATTATTCGATAGCGGGATTAATCTTTCAAATTTATTATATTGTACTTTATATAATACTTAAGAAAAGAATTGTGGACAAATAATTTTAATTTAATAGATTTTATCGAGCTCGTTATCTCGATATTTATAGTGTTAAATATAGTATGAGTTTTTGATAATTAAGAGAGAAAAAACAATAAAATTTGAAAAAAAATATATACTAAAATAAAACTGACTATCAGCATCATGCGCACGTGGCGCTACATCAACCTCTTAACGACGTGATACAAAGAGCCACATCCTGGAAATATGTCCAGCATGATAGATAAACAACTCCATGCAACGTGACGTGACCGTTTTGAATCTCCGTTTCTTCGTTGGTTTCTCCGCAGCATGAATAGCGCATAAATCAGAAAAGAGCAGTCCAAAGAAAAATATATTTTTTTTAATTTTATTTTATAGCTTTTTGAGATATTTATATCCTTTTTTAAAACATATATATTTCTTTGAAATATTGATCAAAGATATCAAACGTTAAACAATTTTTGCATTAATTCTTTAATAAGCTTGATAACTTAATAAGCTTGATAAATATTCTAAATGAGATAGTTAATATAAATTAGTCGAGGAATATTTTTTTAGATATGAGTATAAATGCGAATACGCGATAAGTGTATCGATTATATTAATTATCACCTCTTTCTAATTTCTCGAGATTGAAGTGTTTCGTACTTGAAATTGTCGTTGAGGTGAGAGATCTTTTGGCGCAAGTCCAAGTCGTCGAATCCGCGAGTGAGAATCCGGCATCGACGACAAATAACTCTACACAGGTGTTAAACTTAGAACCCGGACTAATTAAGGCTCTCTAAACAGCGGCCGCGTAATAGGGAATTTCGAGTACTGGGAAAACCACTGATCGGGGACAATATCACCAATAAAGCCATTTCATTTTCCAAATTTTATTATCTCACACGTATAGAACACGTCTGATGATTGATTATAAATTGTATATTATTAGAATAAAATTATATGCAAAGAATGTATATATATAATTACAAATAAAATCAATATACGTAAATACAAATAATTTATACATAAATATAATATGACCATGGAAATATATAACATTAATTAACACAATTATTTACGATAAAATATTTAATTTTAAAAACATGATTCTAATTATTTAGACTACAATTATAAATAAAATTGCAAAATCGGTTCGATATTTTCAAAGTATATATTGAAAAACATTTGATTTTTTTTCGCGGTCAATGGTCCACGCACAAGGCTGCAAAATGTTATTTTCTCCCCTCTCATCTCGTGTTCATCTCGCGGGGCGCACATACTCGAAATTCGAAGGTTATTTTTAGGATAGATTTCGTCGTCGCGTAAGGCCACGACGAGCGACGTCGGCGTCGCTCGCTCTCAGTTTTAAAGAGGCGTCGGTGGAGGACGCAGTGGTGGACGACGAACTCTTCGACAAGTGAGAAGAGACGAGCTTCTATATGCGAGTGTGCGGTGCGGATACAAAGGAGGGAACGCGAAAAGGGAGATAAAGAAAGATAAAAAGGAACACGCGAAGCGAGAACTCACCGACGCCCGAACGATCTTACGAACGAACGATCGACTGAAATATCATTGATTCTTCATTTACTCTCTTGAATTCCTTCACTTTCCCGTATTCCCAACTTCACTCTTTCCCGGATATCTCCTTTACCCTCCGCTATATCTCACCGTCATATTTTCGACGTCGAACAAACGAACACTGAACGAATAATCCCTCGAGCTATGGCAGCCACCGCCATGGATCCAGTCGACATTGCGAACATACTCGCGCAAGAACTGCTCTATCAGCAGGTAAATCATCTCTCGGACCACAGAAAAATCTTCCGAATATCTTTGCAATTTTTTATTTTTTTATTTTTTTTTTTTTTTTTATTTTTTTTAGAAAAATTAGCGGAAGCGGAGCGCATTAAATTATATAACACATTTAGATAATGATTCAATTATTAATTATGATTATTAAGCTATTACTACGTACATGGAATAACATGTTCATTATACATATAGCATAAATTGCCCGCTTAGACTTGATATATAGTATGTTTTGTTCTATACAGAATAATTAAGTAGAAAGTATATTATTTAAGGATGCATTTTGGATCCGTTTCAACTCGGAGTAAACAAAGTAAAAATTAATTATTCCATTTCAATATTGAATATTTCTTCCGTGGATGATCGCGATGCAGTCGGAAGATATTGACTGCTTTCCCTGGACGCGTTCGACGATATTTGATCTCATTGTGATGATGCGGCGCGAATAAAGTGGTCTTTGTCGACTCGAAAAAGGCCCCCAGAGAGGCAGAGAAGAATCCTCTGGACGATCGTTTCTAATCTGAAAATAAACGCGACGGCTGGCGCGCGTTCGAGGAGCGCGATGAGAGAGAGAGAGAGCATTTTCATTCATAGCGCGTCGATTAATTTTGGCGGAGCAAATTTCCGCGGCAAAGCCGCCTTTCAAGAGATTTTTCGCCCGAATTATAAGAGAAAATCTATTCGCGCAATTTCTGCGTATTTGAAGGAGAGAAAGCTCGCTTCGGAACGGCCAAGTCCGGCTTATAGCGGGATGATTATTGCGATGTGAAGGAACGAGGATTGTGCAATATTGTGCAATATCGCGTTCGAAGTTCCACCCGTCTCGGTGAAACTATCGCGAGCATATCGTTTACGCGATTATTTCCTAGCGAACTCGGGTGGGATAATAGAATGGTATAAAATGTGAGTTTTGAGTTGTACGTCGAGAGAATTTTTTTTCTCTTCAAAATTATCCTGAACATCACGCAGTATCGTGAGACAGTATGATATTGGAAGAATTTGGTAAGAGTTTCTCTCATTAATATATACATGAGATTTTTTATTATGTGGTAAATATTATTCATTTCCAGAGTAAATTCTAAGAGAGAGGGAATATAATATTTATGAATCTATACTAAATGTCAGACGACACGAAATCAGTTTGATAATCTTGATCGGAAATTATAAAATGTTTGCACGTTATGATATGAAGTAAGAAATTGTCACGTGCATGTTAGATTTTGTAATTTACATTTTTTCGGCGATTTAATCAAATAGCAAAATGCGATCCGAATTATTAATGTGCGAATATTTTCAAAAGTATTTGACAAAATTGCGTTTTAATTATTATTAGAGCCACATGTGAGGGCTATTAATCTGCACGACGTTTCTAACAAATTTCGCCAATTAATTTTCTACGTTGGCATAGTTACAAATTATAACAGTAACAGTCGTTTTCTCACAGATTTTGAATCTTATATATTTTCAATAACTATATATACAATTATATCATATTTTTTGAAATTATAAAATATAGGAACGCGCGCATTATTTTTTTATTACACTTAATCGAAATTCGTAAAAGGATTCTTTAATAAAGGAAAAGATGAAAATAGAATCATATAGACTTTGTTTTGTCAAAACAATAACAATCTCGTGCATCATAAAGATCATACGATATAAGATCGCGAGTGGATATTTTCGGAGGCCTTCGGATTCGATCGCACAATTAATCCTCGGTCTGGAAACGATGCTTTAGATGAGGATCTATTTTCCGTGGTTTAGAATTACGGCAAATGCGAGATGTGGGCGCCCTCGCTCTCTTCTCGTCGGCTTTCGAGAGAAGAAATCGAGCACGACCGCGGCTTATTATCTTCGTATGCGCGTTTCGCAACAATTTTCTGGTGGCTGATATCGCCCTTTGTCCATAGACTCGCAACGCGCGTTCAGGGCAGATTAGAGAGAAAAAGAGAGAGAGAGAGAACAGCGAACGTGCATTTATTTATAGAATCGCGGACCGCGTGCGCCGTACGTGTTTAGCATACGTGTGCGTGTGTGTGTGTGTATGCGCACGTATGTGTGTGCAACGCAACTACATGAAGGAGGAAAACGAGCGAGCAACCGCATCGCAAAACGGAAGACGCGTGTTTGCGTGCCAACAGCTCTGTGAAAAAAAAGGCGCGACATCTCGCTCCGTCACAGAAGAGAAAAATTCTGTTGAAACGGAGTTTGGTTGGCGATTCGCGAAATTTTGTTTACTTCGCGCGAGATGAACGCTCGAGGTCTTCGTTTTGCGCAGTAGCGATAGCGACGATTAGGTATATCAGCGTATCATATGCGATGATCAAATTCGGGTGTAGTGTTCTGTAACTCGAAGCCGACTCTTTCTTAAAAAGCACGCGATCAAATGCGATATTTTTTCATTTTTTGAAAACGTGTATTTCGACATAACAATTTTCATTATTGTAATATTTTATTGATCGTAGTTAAATGACATTTGTACTCTTTATTCCTAAAATTCCTTAAATGTTTAATTTTTTAAGCTTACAATTATAGTTGTTTTATTGCCAGAAGTTTTGACTAATTATTGACAGGTTTTTTCTTACAATTAGATTTCGATTTTTAATATCTCTAGAAGTTTTAAAAATAATAAAATATCTTATATCAGGATAATAAATTGTTATCTTTGAATCACATATTGGAATATCCAATAAAATAGTCGAAACTCGCGTGTGATGTATCATAATGATTCATTGCGAGGGAAGACATGTCAACACATAATATATGCACATATGACTCGTTCGAAGTAATTCTGCGATGAACAATGTACGAAGGTGAACGGCCCGAAGATCATGAGAAATTGTCAATTCGTCAATCATAAGTGGAATGACATTTCTCTATCTCTTTTTTCTGACCTTCCTGCATTAACAAAAGATTTCATTCTTTCGTCTAAATTTTTTTATTTGAAAAAACTAAATGGAGTGCAAATTCCTCCATTTTTCTATTTGCCCTGGTCTCACGCTACATTTACTTTTTATTTAACAAAAGGTAAATGGAGTGATTCCTCCATTTTTTCCACTTGCTATTGCCCTGGTCACACTCTAAAAATTGCGATCATTCTGTCGACACATGATCGATGCCGCACCTATCGATCTCGTCACGCGGATACTTGTTCCATTTTTGGTGATCACGGAAAGCAAACAGCGTTCAGCGATAAACGCTTTCGAAATTTCTCAAGATTTGTCTTTCTATAATAACTTTCTCAATACAATATAACGGAAGTCATTCCTGTGATAATAAAGTAAATTTTCTACCAAATTCGTGCCAAATCGTAAGGTGCCTTTGTAGAAGCAGTAATAAGATTGTAGCTCGTGGCAGAGGTCGAAACAATTGATCAATGAGATAGCAAAAAGCTGGCTGGCAGAATAATCAAAAAGTGATTGGACGACTTTCGTTCAAGATGTCCATTTCGTTTTAGACGCTTGATTAACTTAATCGAAAAAGTTAATTTTTTATCAAAACGAAAACAATTGTCATTTTTAGGTCACTCTTTCACTACATTTTTCTTTAAAAAAAAAAGGGGGAATGTCAATAAAAATGTAAGAAATGCAAAGATCTCATCGACAAGGATTTCGATCGATCGTCGCGAGCAATTTCCATAATTCCCAAAATTCACCTTCGGCATTTTCTCGCGTGGAATGACGAGAAATTCCGGTGACCGTGACGCTGCTACGCGCACGAACATGATTTGGTAACGCCTAAGTTTAACGCTCCGGACATTCCTGAGGTTCGCGATGGGTGAGAGCCGGAGCATGGTCGATCGGTGGGTGGCCCCGAAAATCGGCCGTTCGGGGCTACACTAAGTAATTTTAGCGATGACACTTCAAGCGCCCGCTTGCCTACGGTATTCTCCTTCGTCACGGAGTTTGATCTCGCCGAAAGAGATGCATTAATCGATACTGCACGCACACATGCATGCGCGTACACACATCGAGGAAAAATCATATTTTCTGCAACAGGATCGTGTGTTTTCATTCGCTATTCATTTGTTTTCGAGATATCTGAGGATTATGATATAATCTGCATATATATGACTATTATTTAAATATTGACAATGTAATACAAAATGTACATAAAAAATTATTACTCGTATGTTACATTCTTGATTAAATATTAAAGAATAGGAAGTTATATGTATGTATATAAATTATTTTCAGAATATAATTAAAATATTAAGATAATATACCTTCACGGAAAGAATTTTTCTTAGAATTTACCCTGAAAATCGTGGTAATCGTGGGACCACGATAACATATATTTATATACACCACAATAAGGCACGAAATATGTTCGATTAATTTTACTATGTACGTATATATTAATATTAATATTTTTTATTGTGGTAAATATGATTTTCAGGGAATAAATTTTAAGAGAAAATTCTCTCTGTGTACACATTTATGAAGGAGAAAAAATAAATTTTTTCATTTATAATCTCTGAAGCTAAAAGACGCATCGGAATTTTTGTCTTTCATCGTAATTGATATATCGTTACCTGGTTTTTTTTCTCGTTACATTACACATCGTACGGTACAGATTTAATCGTGCGGCAACCCAACATTTTTCATCGCGACGAGGCAAAGACGGCGGTGACCTTCGTTAACGGCCGGGATATAGCGATTTGTAATTTTAGAAATGATAGCGGCGCGTTTCTTCTCGCGAGAGAGCGGAGGACAGCTTGTCCTCTCCTTTCTGCGTCCTTTTGTGCTTTCTGGGAAACGCGCAACGCGTATAGATTACGTCCCCGACTGGCGATTGGACGGTGCGATAATGGTGCGCGAGACTGTCGCTACGTGAGCTGTGATTCGAGGTGCTCGTTAATATCGTCGTATAGCGAGAAACAGTTTCTTTCTCTCTCTATCTCTGTTTTTTCTTCTAGAGAAATCATGTTTGGTTGACCGCGAATATATTTTTTTTTTTTTTTTTTTTTTTTTTATTGCAGCCGCTCGCGGCATGGAAATGACGCTTTTAATTCAAAGCGAATTACAGCATTGCGTAATGTTGACGCACGTGCGCTGCACTGTGTTTGTTAATTGCTACTTTTAAGACGAGGAGCACGAGATATGGGAAAAAGATTTGCAAAAATTTTCACGCGAATAAATCGCAGAACGCCTTGACGCGATTTCAACGATATCATATATATATATATATATATATACGCGTCTCTGGAAATCGTAAACTCTAACGATTTATCTATCTGCCTGGCGCGATACGTTATCGGCTATTGGATCATGGATATTTTTATCAACATAAATCTTGACCAGATTAACTGGCCTGGAAAGTTGGAGATAACGATGCCTCTCCTATATTAGTAGCAGTTTCTTGCAAACACAAAATCGCGTTAGCAGAAAATCTTACGTCTCCGCGGGAATCAAATTTCGTCAGCTTCTGTTTTTAGACGCAAGACGCAGAATTCTCTAAAGAAGTTCCTCTTCTCAATTAATTTTTACCGATGTCTATATGCAAACGTGTATAATTTGATTACTTTTTGATTGTTTTTTGATGAAAATGCGAGATAAAAAACCAGAACAGGATTTATACGATCGATGTGTCTTTGCCGATTCAGAAACAGTTTTTTAGCGTGGAATCAGATTCTCTCCGTCTTATTTGTCTCATTTATTAGGCAGATAAAAAAAATTCCAATCAACACATTCGTTATCTCTGCGTTTACAGTTGGTATCTCTGGACGGATTGCACAGCGGGGTACCGACCAGAACGACGCCGACGTTGACGCCGACCACCCTCCGCAGCATCGAGCAGACGTTCCTGGAGCTGACGAGCGAGTCGGCAACGACGCACGGTCGCGAGGCCGGTTTCGTGCCACCACTGGTCGAACCGTCGCAGCCGACTCCGGCACAGACGCAGAACACGACGGCGGCGCATCTCCCGGTGCCGACGACGACCACCCTCATCGAGAGCAGCCAGCAACAAACGCAGCCGCAGCAGCCAGTTAGACGCAACATGGGTGGCAGGAGGCCCACCAGGACGATCGGGATGACTCCCGAGGAGGAGGAGAGGCGACAGATCCGGCGCGAAAGGAATAAGATGGCAGCGGCGAGATGCCGCAAGCGAAGGATGGATCATACCAATGCCCTACTTGAAGTAAGTGTTGACTTACCGATGCTTCAACAGTTGTATTAAAATATATTAATTTTTGCACAATTTTGTTTCGTTCTTAAGGTGCCATTTCATGTGCAGCATGCTACCGCAGCAGTTTGTTGCTGTTGGTGAAGTTCGATTGAATGAAGGCAAAGGCAGCAAAGTAGAAGAACACGCAACTAATTATTATTATTATATTAGTTAAATAATAGATTTAAGAATAAAATAGATTATTATATGAGAATATGAAAGCAAAAATCGTAATTTTAATCTGGAAATAATAAGAGGACAGAGAAATATGCTCTAATAAATTTTGATCACGTGACTGATTTGCTGCTGTAGCATGCTGCGTATGAAAAAGGCACCTTTAGCGAGAATAATCTTTATAGTTGTCAAAAAATCACGAGTGTCTCGTTAGGTAAAAGGAATATTGGTTTTGCAGGAGACCGAGGGTTTGGAACAGAAGAAGCAGAACTTGCGGGATGAAATAGATCAACTGAATCAGGTCAAAGAGGAATTGGAATACATTTTAGAAACGCACAGAGCGGTCTGTCGCCATTCGCTGCGCTCTTCGTCCCCGATGGATGTGAAACCTGTGTTAAAGCCTGATCTTCCGGTGGAGAATCACTTCGTCGAGCCTGTGAAGAGCGACACGACGGTGGCCGCGTCGACGAGACCGAACAGACCTAATTCATTGCCGGTCGGATTGGATAATAACAACAGACTGAATTCTCTGGCGATGTTCGCCGAACCGAAGGAGAGACCGGACACGCTTGCTTTCAAAACAGTGGAAACCCCGGCTTTCATGAAGCCGTCGATGGACGTGGCCGGTATGCCGATTACTACCCCGACCAGCGGTCTTGGATTTAACTTCGAGTCCCTAATGGATGGTGGCACCGGTCTCACGCCGGTCTCGACGCCTTTGATACCATCGTGCTCGACGCAACAGAGGAACAATCTATCAGCCGTGGATCTCAGCTCCCCGGATGCGAATCCACCGAAACTCGTGAGCTTGTGACGCCACGATGACGTAGCGAACCACGGATCGAACGAGGAGAACGATCCCGAATGAGAATGAAAGTACCATGACGCGAGAAGTTTAAATTTTTTTAAAAAGAAAGGAAGGCAGAAGTATTAAGCGCGCCTGCTTTTTACAACGAAATTTTAAATCGTTTTCACAAGCTCTTTCACGTGATTTTTGCTTATTAGAAAGCGCGATTTTTAAAGCATTTTATTGTGACAGTTTGTCGATGGTTATAAATTTATGAAAATTGTAAACTAATCTACGTATTTGTTCTTATAAAATAAGACGAATAAAACAAGAAAATTTTTGTGAGAACGCGATTATTTTTGTATGATATTTTGCGAATGCATTGATCTTTAACAAAAAAAAAAGAAAAAAGAAAGATTTATTGTATTTAGATTTTAATAGTCTTGTGGATGCAGTCTCAGTATTTTGCCCATTCGTAGAGGACAAGGCCAATTGAAACTTTGTATTGATCGATGATGAAATAATTTACTACGAAGATAAATTTTAGAACAATAAGATAATTATACATTTGAAAAGAAGAAGCGCCCAGTTATGTGCGCCTTAAAGAAAATCATCGCAGATATAAGCAATAATGCTGTCTGCATACAAGTGATATAAATATATTTAACGTTTAAAATAATGCATTAGAAATATATATAATATAAAGAAGATTTGTCATTTTGTAAGTAAAACGAAAGATGGATAAAATTTTATACTATGATTCTATACTGAGAATAGAAATTTAGATTGTAAGGAAAAAACAAGTTTAGCTCAAAACTTCTAAATACACTAAGAAATCGCAAGAGCTCTTCGAATTGAGCGCTTAACATTGATCAATAACACAGTTCGCATAATTTAAAAATATATTTAATAATATTATAGAGAGCGAATAAAATTACGCGAATGCGAGAATTCCTATATTTTGTCCAACGTTTATAAGCTGATATTTTGTACACTGGTATGTATAAAAGGAAAGATTATTGTCTCGCTTTCATGCTATTCGCGTTGACATGAATAAGTTTTTATACGCGACTGTCGTTTTTTCCAGTCAATCTCACAACATTATAACATTTAATCCCTCCATATGATATATAATATATACATATACATATATTTTACGATATATGACATTTTTGCATGATCTTAAGCAATATTAATATATTATGCGCGACTACTAGTGATGTATGGAAGTTGTAATAATGATTATAATTAATTTAATTTTATTAATATTAATATTAATAATTATTAATTTATTAATATTAATAATTATATATAATCAACATTATATATAATTATTTTGATAATACAGCTAGTGACTTTTTGTTCCAGCTGATTAATAAAATTTGTTTAAAAGCTTTCCAGCATACTTAGTGGTCGCTATTGAGAATCGTATATGGAGATTGTAATGCACCAATGATAATGTTGCAATATATTTTGATTAGATTGAATAAAACGAAGTGAAATTGTATCATATGTAATATTATTATTATTATTATATACAGCTACTGTATGTAATATTATTTTCTCTCGTATTGCTTAAAAAAAATTATATATATATTTTAAAATCTTTTAAGCTTACTAATTGCTTCGTCCTCATCAGCGGCAGTCATTAACTGATAATGACTAAATTCCAATGAAAACGTCGCTCTACCAGACGTGATAATTCTCAATGCTGTTGAATATCCCAATAATTCTGACAATGGCGCAAGAGTTCTGATCACCTAAAAAAATAAAACAATATTTTAATATTTCGTAATTTAAACAGTTACATTTTATTAGAAATAAGAAGCAGATAATTTATATTATACTTGCCTTATTATAACCGCGCATGTCAATTTGTTGTGTTTTCGCTCGTCTACGAGCGAGATCAGCATTGATACTTGGGGAACATTCCTCCGGTGCAACGATCTCCAATTGCATGATGGGCTCTAATAACATACTATTTCCGCTTTGGAGTAACTATGTAAAAAAATATATTATTTAGATATCTTCAAAATATTTCGACATATAGATAGTCAAGAATAATCACTGTCTATCCATGATAATTTATAATTTATATCATTTCATATTTATATTTACATTTTATTGTATCAATTTCAGTTCTATCTGTGTAGAATTCTAGCATAACTGAACTATTAGACAATCTTAAATATTATTGTATTATCTCTCTCTCTCTATTAAAGAATTATTATATAAGAATCATATTATATCTATTAAAGAATTATTATATAACATAATAATCATCTATTGTAGAAATTTGATATAATATCAAGCAATACATTTCATCATTAATTTACATTTACTAATAGAATTTATGTAATATATAATTTAAAGTATAGACTGACCTTCCGGATGCATTGTGAAGTAGCTGCGGAAATTATGGTATCCGAAGTACCACGTGCCAGTTCTAGCCAGTGCAACTTGACGCCAACATTAATTACGGGACAACTTAACTTGACGCCATGCAATAATGCAGACTTGATACCGCTTTCGATCGCATTCATCACTCGTGGATGAATGCTGTCGATATTCGATGCGTTGTCCGGAGATCTGTCCAGAAGCAGTTTCTCTTTTCCTTCATAATTAGGTATCAAGGACATAGTGATATTAACCTGATGTCTCGTCTGACCTACTTTGTGTTCCACAACTAACGTGTCTTTAACGGCATCCTGAATCGTTTCCTTATAGGCGATTTGCAAAGGACCTAAATCTACGTCGATTTTATAGTCTCTCTTGATTCTCTCTTTAATGATCTCTATATGCAACTCGCCCATTCCTGCGAGAACGATTTGCTCCGTTTCCGGATCATTTCTTACACGCAGACTAGGATCCTCTCTCTGTAGTTCCTGAAGAGCGATTTCTAAGGCAGATTGCGCTGACAAGGAGGGCGGTTCTATAGAACAAAAAAAGACTGGATCGGGCAAGTTCGTTCCGGATGCGAAGAAATTGTTCACGTAATCTGGGCTTTTCTCCTTCAGCATAATGCCTTTAGCACGGCTGCCAGCGGACGCGCTCGTCGTCACGAGATCACCCGTGATGGTATCCTTCAGTCCGCCTACAGCTGCGATATTCCCAAGACTCACTTCGGCTACTTCCTCGTAATCATCGGCGCAGGCGATATACAGACGAGTACACTGCTCGTTTTGCTCCCGTGTTACATTGTACAGCTTCTGACCTTTCTTCATATTGCCGGAATAGATTCTGAAGAAAGTGATCGGACCTCTCTGCTTGTCGTGAACAATTTTGAAGACTCTGGCTGCTAGATTGTTCTCAAAGTATCGATATGGATTTAAATTTTTTACATTTGCTGGTGATGGCAGATAAAGAATGATGTTGTCCATTAGAGGTTGCACTCCTATATTTTTATAAGAACTTCCTAATATTACAGGCACACCTTTTCTATTTATAGTGATTCTGCGTAACGAATTGATCAATACCTGTGGTTCCACATTTTCCAGAGACTCTTGTTCTATGATGATATCAGCTAGTTTGTCATCTAAGCCTGACAATCTATCAGTCAATACTCGTCGCTTCTCACTGACTATATCCCACAATCTTTCATCATCGTTTTCAGTTATTTTTGTTTTTATTATATTCATACCTTGACGTTTCTTATCGAATGTCAACTTTTCCATAGTTATTACATCTACAATACCCTCTAAGACTCCTGCTTTCTTCATAGGAATTTGAATAGGTAGTGTTTCTATGTTTAACTTGGATTCAATAGACTGTAAACTCATGTCAAAATCAGCATCTGCTCTATCCATTTTGTTAACATAAATTATTCGAGGAATATTGTACCTGTCCGCTTGTTTGGAAACTGTTACTGTCTGGGCTTCCACACCAGCGGAACCATCCAGGATTACAATTGCACCATCTAATATTTGTAAAGTTTGTTCAACCTCCATGGTAAAATCAATATGACCAGGAGTATCTATCAAATTAAAGTGGTAATCTTTCCAATTGAATGTAACAGCAGCTGAAGTGATGGTTATCCCTCGCTGTTGTTCCTGTTCCATGTAATCAGTCACCGTATTGCCATGATGTACTTCTCCCATATTTCTGATGAGACCAGAGTAAAATAACATTCTTTCAGTTGTGGTGGTTTTTCCTAAAAAAAAAAAAAAAAAAAAAATACACTTATATAATTCAAACCAAATAAATTTCATTTATATAATCAACACGTACTAACCAGCATCAATGTGTGCCAATATGCCAATGTTACGAATCTTTGCAGTTTCACATTCTTTAGGTTTAAGCTCTTCCTTTGGTATAGAGGCATTTTTATGCGTATATCGAACACGTAACTTGCACCACGATGTCTTTAATAAATTATGCTTCAACATTTTCTTGTACTCGTACAATCTGACAGTGTTTTACTTTCTATCTGCTCCTATTTGAACATAATCATTTTTTTATTATTTCAATATCTTTCAAATTTTACACTATTATTTATTTATATTTTACTTGTTACTATTAGGAAAATATTTTTAATAATGTAAATTAATTTTTACTCTTCATATATGTAAATAATTGCTATTGTCAAGGAGAAAATGCGTATTTAATTATCTTTTAATAAATTTTATTAATATCATTAATTAGAAGAAGAACAATGTGCAAATAAACATTTAATAAAAGATTGTAACCTGAAAGAACTTATTGTTCACATTGAAAAAAATACATGCATGCCAAGTTTAGAATAGAGCGATTAAATCTAATTTTCATGATTTCATAATCGATTGAAAATATATTTAGATAAGAATTAGCGATCGAGAAAAAAATGACAATTAATCGTTCTTCAACGAACGTGATATCTACATTAAATTTTAAATACCACAAGACTGAATATTTACCCTTCAACATCAGCTGAGATTGGCTTAAAACCATCTTCACGCACGATTCATACATTCGTCGTCTATAGGTCTACCTCGATAACTGTCATGCGCATGACTGTCAAGCGTCGAAGCTCCAGTAAACGATCATCTGTTCGCATTCCGAAATTTATAAGAAATTATATCGCTCCAACATCCTAGCACGAAAGCCAAATTTTGTCGAATCTTGTATATTCGCAGGCTCAAACGCTCGTATTAAAAATTTATTATTCGTGCTTTATTGGGTGTGAACGATTGATCGCACGTGAGTCACCGGAAAGATTTGTTAAGAAGAAAACGCTAAGTTTCTTATTATGTGCGCGAAAATGGCCTTTCAACATCAGCCGGGTACCGCTATGGAGTGCCTAAGCGTATGTATTCTTAAATTTCATCACGTAGTTGTGTTTTTGTCCATGACCTGTATACAATAAATCCTTTGCAATAGGGGTACCTCAAAGACTCATTATAGTGAGGAGCGAAGTAGCTACTGAGAGGATATATCCTCTAAATATATATTACTTTAACAGACAGAATTCTTTAAATAATAAATTGTTTTTTACATATATGTTTGTATCATTTATCATATTACATATATTTATTAATTGATTATAGATACCAATTACATTACACAAAGAAACAGAAATTAATGAGAATGGCGAAGAAGTAATGAAATGTGGCTTTAAAATTGGAGGAGGAATTGATCAAGACTTCACGAAAAGTCCACAGGGTTATACAGACAATGTAAGAGATATTACATTACTAAGATATATCAGTTAGATATAATTTGTATATTATTTTAAGATAACACAAAAGCTTGATATCAATTTTTCTTTTCAGGGTATATATGTAACAGAGGTGCACGAAGGATCACCAGCTGCAAAAAGTGGTCTTAGGATGCATGATAAAATTTTACAATGTAATGGGTATGATTTCACAATGGTAACTCACAAGAAAGCAGTTTCTTATATAAGAAAGCATCCGGTGTTAAATCTTTTAGTAGCTCGTAAAGGTGTCACCAGTACTTAAAAGATGTGCCAAGAGAAATTTTTTGAACAATATTTATTTTTTAATCTACTTTAAGCTGTTTGTCCATTCAATTTATTTTTTCTGCCAAATATTATAATAAATATTAGTAAAATTTTGATCCATTACTTCTATATAAAGATATCGTTAAATTATATAGTTGAGGAAGTTAAAGTTTCTTTGTTTATTTTAAAATTGATATAAGAATTTATACTAATCTGATATTGTTAGTTAATATTGTTAACACAGTCAGTTTCTTCTGATCTAGAATTATCGAGATCGAGCATTTCCTCTATTCCAATATTTCTCCTCAATCTCCAGTCTTATTCTAATGACATATACATGTAATAAAAATACTGCGCGTTTTGTTTTTCATTTCACTTTTACTTTAATATGATAAATGTTCTACAAAAAACAGTATGAAAATAGAATTGTATCTTATTTAAGAAAAAAATAATTGAGTTAGAATAGAGAAAAATTTAGATCAGAGAAATGCTAGAAAAGAAAAAATCAACTGTATCCTTATAAAAAAGTTTAAAAAAAGAAATGCCAAAGTATAATAAATTGCATTAACTTGCATATATCTTTGACTATAGAAATATTAGTGAATTGTATGTTGACTTTTTCCTATAAAAAGGAAACTACCAAGAATTTTTGATAGTTCAATATCTTTTATTTTCTATTATTATATTATATTATATTTATTGATTTTATATTATATTATTTTATATTTATTGATTTTTCTCTTATATATTTTAATTATTATGCATGAATTTAAATAACCCGCTATAGTCAAAGATATGAATAATAGAGACATAATAACCACTTTTATAGCTATATATCCTTTAACTGTGGCAAAGAGAATTGATATTTGTGTGTGAGAAAAAGATATTTAAAAAAGAATTCCAAAACCTTCCACAAATATTTATACCATAAGAATTACTTTTTCTCTCATTCTCTCTTTTTGAAGTATGATATTTCTTAGAAAAATTTTAGACATAATATATTAGTTATTTTATCATATTGCTTATCTTATTATTGTGATAAATTAAGTATGCATATATAAAATTAACGTGGAGTAAAACATTCCAAGCTATTTGCCTAACATATATATTTACACATTTAATATTCTATTATTGAATATCAATAATCTTTACCAATTAAAAACTGAATCAGCATACTGAAGTATAAAGATATGTTTTTTTCATGTCTCTCACTTAACAGTTACTATGATAAATACAAAAGGTTTCCGGATGGTTGCCGCATGGTTTAACAGCGTAATGCCTTTACGCTGTTAATAATAACAGTAATAACAGTAATGGCATTACGCTGTTAAACCACGTGGCATCCATCCGGAAACCTTTTGCATTGATGATTCCAATGGCCGGATGGCGAAAGTCTCAAAACTAGAGTTACTATGATATATATATCGTTCATGAGGAACGATAAAAATAATATATTCATATCATTTTTTCTAATTTTCCATGAAAGTAAAAGGAGATTATATATTATAATTACATTTACATTGTATTGTTAACATTGTTTTAGCAAATAGTCATGCTACGAAATAATGCAATACTATATGTAAACAGAAATATCAAACAACTTTTGTACTTCGTCTCTTTGTTTTTATCCAAAGGACGAATTTTATATATTTTGTAATTTTTGATACGATATGAAAATATAAAAATAATTTCATATTTTATCTCTTTTTTAAAATGAAATTGAAAAAGTATGATGGAAAAATTAAGAGTTCCTGTATGATGTATGTGAAGATACATTGGGAACATTATTGTTACGTATATAATGTGTATATATATGTACACATTATATATTATATATATATATATATATCTTAGTCTAGTAAAATGTCAAAACATTTCAAATACACAGTACTATATATGTACAATGGACGTATAAAATGTACAGTTCCAAAGTGTATCAGACATACATACATACTTACATATACATTTTATATATATGTATACACTTAAATATATATGTATGAATTGTAGAATACAATGTTATGAAAAGCCAAAGAAATTGTTAAAACTATTCTTCTTGTTATTTTATTTATCCTAATCTGAGAAGATTATTCAAGATGTATAATTACTATTTGTAAATGTTAAAACTTAAGAAGAGATCTTCTTATATTTAATAATAATAATTGAGTGATCTGCGTTTGAACTTTATTGCCTTCAACATTGATGTATGATGACAATAGAAATTACAAACTACTAGCTAAGTCCGCACTACTTGATACGTGATACGTCAAATCAGTGGCTTATGTCGTTTTGTTCTTGTTTCAAGTAAATATCAGAAGACGTATATCGCACTATCGGATAGTAATAAGTTCTATAAATATCTTCTTAGTATTCAAATGTTGAATTTATATAGATCCTATATTTCTTGATGCAATAATATACTACATACATTTTTCACACTAGATACACATTCTTCATACTAGATACACAATTACATTCTAAAACAGTAAAGTTTTGTAAATTTTAGTGATAAATAACTGGTAAACATACATTTTTAATTAATTGTTTAACAAATATAACTGATCGATCATACAATATTTTTATTATACCACATGCTATTCTAAAAATTGTCATTTGAAAAATACATTTTTTTAAACTGGACTATTGCTAATTGCAATCATTAAGACGGAATTTGTTCAGAATACATAGGAAGAATATTTTTATTCATTGGTATAATTAATAAATAGAGCTTGTAATCTCTCTCGCTCTCTCTCTTTCTCTCTCTCTCTTACAAATTATATCTTAGTGATTAAAGATAATTTTTTATACAAGCTTTCTCTGTTTGTGTATTTTTATAGAATGTTTTCTATTGAAAGTATTCTTAACACACTTTTCACACTTTCTCTGTTTTCTTGTTATTTATCATAATTGACTATACAATATTTATTTTTCTCGAACCTCTTTATCCTGCATTTTAGAATTAATTAAGCTTATCTAATTATTAGTTTAATTATATTAATGCTATTTTGTCAAAATAATTTATATAAATATTATGTATAAAATTAATGCATTTTCATACACTATCTAAAAATTAACAATAATATAGTAAAATATTATTTTGCTATCCAAACTTATTCACATTTAGTGATTATAAATTGTTTGTAATATTCTGTATTTTTAATATATTATATTACAACCTTTCAAAATCAGTTTTCTTTTCGTTTAATTTTTTATAACTCGTTCTGTTGTATTAGTATTTTCCATTATATTTAACATTTATTGGCACATAATAAATTACTAAAAATGTATTACATGTTTTCGTACGTATTAATTTTTAGATAGCTAGAAAACACAGTTAATATATTTGATCTAAATATATATTGATAAGAAATTAACATAATTCAAAAGTATAATTTGTTATTAATAATTTGATCAAGATATTAATCATATATTAACATTTAAAACAATGATTTATGTAATTAGTCTATAACTTACTAATTTGTTTTGCATACTACATTAAAGGATTAATTCGTGAAAATATGTCAAAAATATTTTAAATGCAACTATCGTTTAGAGCAATGGAATGTTTGTTCCTGTAGTACTATAAACATTAGTGTTTTTATGCATCTTTCCTTAAGAATAATTTGAGTAAAATGTAATCTTATGAGGGAAGAACATTTTTTGTTACCCGTGTTCTTTATGTGTAAATATGTGTTATATAAATTAATATTAAATCACAATTCAATTGCACAATTTGTATTACCGTCTACTTTAGAGCTGGAAATTATAGGGTGCTCTTGCAACGGTGTCTTTACTCTTTATATTGCAATATGATCTATATCAAATGTACAAGATCTTATTCTGAGTACTAAATTTCTTCTACATATTTCCTCTCTTTATATGAAAATAAAGTTTAAGTAGATAACATTAATATATACTGTATTATTGTTTAACAACTATAATATAACATTGGTTTCGTAATTGTCAATGTGAGTATTTTAGGCTTGAGAATTAGATTGGTGATGTATATAGAAGCAATCGCGTCAAAAAAATTAAAATAGATTAATTAAAATCTGAATTGCAGTTCAGCTTTCCTAAATACAAATAAAAGAGATTTCGTGTTTTTTAATAATATATACCATTAAAATATTAAAAATATATAAGATGACTTTATGTCTCTTGCAATTCAACGTTCACTTCCATTGCTTTTCATCTGGATAATGATGAACTAGCCTCTGATCTTCCACTAGCAGACTGTAAACTCATCATTGAACCCCTAAAAGAAACCAATGAAAATATCAATGCAGAAAATGTTATTAATAAAAAATATGTACTGTATGTTTTTTATTTTTGTTTTATTTAAAATATTTCACGCACCTGTAATGTGCAGATGGCAATGTCTCATAAAAATACATAAGTTGAGCTTTATGAGAACTAATAGATGGAAGAAATTCGGTTTGGTCTTCTTGATTTTGCCATTGTAATATATAGGTACCTGTATCTTGCATGATATGCGTTCCCTACACCAAAGTGGCAATAATGTATATAATTATACTAGTATATCTATATAGAATCTCACTCACAAAAATCATTTAAATAAATCACAAGTAGATAAAAATGTGCAGTTTTACTCTAAATAAATATATCTGCATATTGTATTTTAATATAAGAATAGAAACGTAATTTAAATTACTACAATTTAATTGATACAATCAAACTAAAACTATATCAAATATATATTTTGTTTTGTATTCTTGATCAAATAGTTTTATTAGTAATTGTGTATATATGGATCAATTTGATATACTTTCCTATTAAATAACAATAAGTATATAAATTATATAAGAGAATACATACTTGGATGCTTTCACCATCATGACAAACTATACTAGGTTCGACTTTAACATAATTATCTTTTAGTTCCTTTGCAACTTCATGGTCACCACCTATTGCAAGCTCTGGGATTTCTACAAAATAATCAATACTCTCTTAGCACTATAATATGTGAATTATGTATTGTTTTGAGTCGTTCAAAAATGTTATTTATATGACACATATGTGATTACAAATATGTGTTTCTAGTATTTTACCTGCAATAGTACCATTTTCGCTATTTCGCGATTTGTGAAGTACTGTAAATACAACATTATGTCGCATTACATCAAAATCCCACGTCAAAACAGCACCTGGATCATCTGATTCTATGAACACATGATGAGTTTGGCCACGGCTCAAACTAATGGAGTGATATAAACTATGTTCATGTTCACCGGAAGTACCCTCCAGATCCACTCTGTACAAATTCTTCGGAACCACTCCACCTTCCATTATGTAAGTCTATTTTAATAGAAATAAAAAGATTATTCACATACATGTATACATTATACTTTTGTTACGGAAGATATTATACATATAAGTCTATTAAATACTTAAAAGATTTTACTACAATATTAATAGCTAATCAAACTTCAGATACTTGGTTTTTATGAATTCAAAGTCTAGATCTATCTAGTCACATGTTATTTAATTATTTTACATCTTATTATTTACATTATTACATTTAATTATTTACATCTTTGTTTAAGTTTAATCTGTTTAAAATATTCTGAAATTTAACTAGCTAGCACGCAGAATCACTTCACTTTTCGTGCGCCCGGTGTTGTTCTAGATTTTTTAATTAGTGCTTGAATTTGTGTGCGTCACATAGGTTTCTGATTATATATAATGATAGATTTCTGATCATAATTGATGATACACATAGATAATGCGTCAATGGATTTCAAAATCTATATATGTATTAAAAATAAATAAAAAATTATAACAGAGAATAGATGATTCGTATATAAATTAGTCTGGTCTCAGATGTAGATGATGTATGAAAGATGAGATGTACAAATGTGACACAGACAATGCCTATGTCTAGCAACTGCTGAAATTACATTTAACGATTTTCTGAACAATGCTTCTTTATTATATGAAAATATAATAATGTGCATTTTTAATAAATATAAGAACATCACAATTTTTTGTTCCACTAAAGCCAGTTAGCTGCAAAGAACAACTTCTACAACATGATCAACATAAATTTCGTATCATTTTCTTACGCTGTTCGCAGTTGTGTCGAAAATGTAAAACCTTCGAGGTACCATACTATAGACTTCGCATATATTCATGTCCTAGTATTTAACATGCAATACATTACTCCAATATGAATATTTTAGAAACGACACTATTGTGTGTATTTTTTCCAGAAAGGAAATTAAAATTATAAACTAAATCTTTAATTGTCATAAAGTAAAAATATATCAATAAAATAGTTATAATAATTTAGTGTTAATGTTTGTGTTATACTATAATATAATATTGCACTATATTTTGTTTATACAATAGAAAAATTATATTAGAACCTGTTAAATGTTTATATGATATTTATGCTGCCATAAAAACATTTTACTCTGTTATATTATATATATATTAATATTAACAATATATTTTATTATTAAAATTGTGAAGTTTAATATGCAATATTAAAAAAAAAAATATATATATATATATATATATATATCTTAATTTTTGCTAATATTATTATAATCTTACCTCTGAGGAACCACCAAGAAATTCAGGAATAAATTCTTGATTAATGTATTCACTAAGACCTCCAGAACCTTGTTCCTGGTAGTCTGAACCACAATAGAAAATAAACTTTTTCCTAGTATTTTCGTCTGCAATTTTAATATGTACATAATTAGTAAATGAATATTTATGAATTTTTATAATTTAATTAATAATAAATCTAAATAATTAATAAATCTTCTTACTAATAAAAGTGCTGATAAGTGTCCACAAAATAGGGAAGCACCTGGGAGCACGTATGATTAAAACCCTTCCCATTGTTTCTGGATAATTTGCCTCAACTATTTCTATTATTCTCAATAATGCCTAGAACAAATTAAGTAAAAATTTATATATTTAGCAACACAATTATTTGTGACATATAAAATATAGAGAAATTAATATTTTTTAACTATAAATTAATTTATTTTATATATTAAAATATTCATACTTTTATCCCAGGTCTCCATAAATGTCGCATATTTAAACCTTCTAAATCTATCAATAGAGTCCATTGAGACACTGGATGTCCCCAAACAGTAGTAGCTTCTTCCATCAAGTGTAGACCTTCTTCACAGATATGTAAAGCCTGTAGAAAAGTAAGAATTGTTAAATATAATTGTTAAATATAAATTTTTTTAAAAATATTTTCAAATATAGATCTAACTTACTAATAATAACAATTCATCTTCCCCAATCGATTTAAGTAAGCCTTTGACATCCATTTGACCCAGTCTTAAGATATATAAAGGTCGTCCATCTATATATCAAAGGGGGATACATAATTAAATAAAAATATGATATACCAAGCATTTTTTTTTATGTATTACATATATTGATATTATTTTTCATGTAAGCAGCATAATCCAACATAGATATTTTGAGCAGTTTTTTTTTTAATTAAATAATTACCTTTATCAAAGTGATGCCAACCACCAGGAAAATAATCTTTAACTACTTGCGGCATTTCGTATTCATCGAGAAGTTTATCGATCTGATGTTTCTTTCTCCAGTGTAAGGACTGTGTTAACATTTCTCTGGCCTTTTCGACAGAAAATTCAGTTGCCCTTAGGAAACGTAGGAGCGTTGCGTAACCCGGTACCGAGCTTCCCCTCAATTCTTCTATGCTATGTCTAAGTTGAACTAATTTGCTTTCCTGTATCATATCTAATTTTCCTAAATATCTCTCTATATAATCCGAAGATAGTTGCATCTCTGAGATGAAGAAAATAAAAATAAATTAATATATATGCACTGTATCATTTATCAAAATATGTATTAAAAACGATAATGTGCATACCTCTGTTGCTGGGCAGTTTGCTGTCGGCATTATATAATTCTTTGTCACTATATAACTCATTATTTTCGACCACATTTTTCCTATATAAAAAAAGTAACCATTGCAGATCGAAAATAATTGCTCAATATAAATTGTTAATATGAATTTAGGTAAAATGTGTTAAATGTTTACTGCTGGAATTAAAATTGCAAGATGTTACAATTAGGAAGATTCTGATTCTTTTTTCTTTTTCTATACAGACAATTAACGTGTGCTCGTGATGTCTGAAGTGCTCGTCCATGATCTTCCTTACAAGCAATGTGGAATTTATGCAATCAAGAAATATAAATTCTAATGTGTCTATCATTTGATTTAATATAATCACAGATATACTTACTTTTCCTCTTCAGAAGATCCTTCTTGTGGATCTTTCCAAGGAGAAACAAAGGTAATACCTTCTTCCTTCATTTGATTTATGAAGAATTCAATGATTTCCTTACCCTTTAATTAAACATAATATAATTACTTATGTAACAACAAAGTTACTGTTATTATAATTATTATATCTGTTATCTGTATAATAGAAAGTGCTGTGTATGTGCATTACCTTAGCAATATTTTGAGCATATTGCTTCATTGCTAATTTTTCCATTGAATTTTCAAAACCAAAAAAATTTTTAATATCTAAACTTGCTGTTTGTTCAAAGCAAGTCCATTCTGAATTTTCAGGATGAATCTAAATAACAGATTAATAAAATTAAAATCTAATTATTTTTTTTTTATATAAAGTTAGAAGATGTATAATACTTTTCTTTAATATAAAGAAAAAGTGAAGTTTTATAAAATATCTGTATATGTATGTGTTTATGTGTGTATGTGTAAATATGAATCTACATGTAATACTTACAAAATATCTACATTTTTCAATAACTGTTACCCTAGTGGCAAAACTTTCGTTGTATGCTTCTATTTCTAAAACATTATTGCGCCTATCTAAAACATTTCTTTGAATGAAGAATACAAAATCTACACCAATTATCTGAAATAAATAATATATTACTGAACATGTTTTCCTGATGCATAAAAACCTGTTTTAATGATATCAGAAATGTTTAGTTTCATAACTACTAATGTACAATACTCTGCAAAATCTCTAAAATTAAATTAAAAATACTAAGTATCTATAATAATAATAATAATAAAAATGACAAATCTCCACAGTAATTGAATGGCAGACTGAATGCCACGATAAGATAAGGCTTATTTTCTGTTGTTACATATATGGACAAACCTTTTTCAAGATATAAGGTGCCTCAACATTTAATTTACACCGTCTTTCCGTGGTTCTAACAGCACCATCCTGGCTTTCCTCGTCTAACATGACTTCACATCCAATAAAAACTGGTATTTGTGGACATGTTGGAAATCTACGCTCGTATGCCTGCAAACAAACAAGTTATCTTGTTTACCTTGTACATCACATTACGATAAGATCATAAATTAATTCAATTCACGAGTAATTATCAAAGCAATTAAATGACTTGCATGTTCAGACTTACAGTTGCAAAAAAAAAAATAGACATTTGCAAGATTATTGTGTTCTTTCTATGGAGTTAATATATAAGTATTCGCATGATTCGACCATTTGAATCGATTATTGGATTATCTGGGATATGCACATATGTGCTAGGAAGGATATAGAAAAGCGGAGTGTGTTGAATAAATATTTTATGACGGCCAAGTTCGAAGGTTGTGTAATAATAAACACACCATCATGACAAGAGGGAACGGATGCTTGTAAACCCGTACGGGTGACTGATATTGTTGAACCATGTTTGTTTATTATCTTTACGCGTTTTCGCGTATCTCCGATTTTACACTGATTACACTTGTTCACAGAACTTAGGATAATTCGATCACGATATATACACTATAGCCATCACAGCTAATCAATTGGCAGACGGAAGCAGACGGAATGCTCTCCAATTGGGGTATAGAAAGTACTGTCGCTGCTCAGCGAGAATTCAATAGAGCGGAAACTCGCTGGAAATGTCAAACGTCACTTTCGGCGCCCTCTTACGACGCGCAACTAAAAAGTACGATAACCATCTTGTCTGTTTATACCCCATGACCGAAGTACTCCTTTTTCGATTCATTTTATAGCGTGCCGAAATCTGTTCAAAACAGCCGTTACTATATAGATATCTGTGTTATTTTTGTAATCATTGTATTGAAAAATTTATTTATATTAAAATCGATTATATATTTAATTATATATACATATGAAATATATTTAATTCGCCTGCGAAATAATACTCCGACTTTCGCGCGTTCCGAAACCAATCGTAAGTAGAAATTTGTTATGATTTTTAAGTTCTCGATTGATAGATCAGCGCAATGACTAATACGGACACTTGTGTAAAGTGTCTCCTTGTAAAAGTTGACTGATTTCGCGTAAAAGTCTCGCGAGGAATCGCTCGCTAAGCTCGAGTCGCAAGTGACATAATAATTCGGATATCGGGAATCTCTTTTTTTCATGTGATGAGCAGCGCATGTGAGGATTCGTGTCCTTGGACGAACTATTTGTCGGAGGCGATCAATAAATACGTCCACAACCTGTTATCGTTTCTCTCGTCGACTTTCGGGTTAACCTTCAATTCCAACGACATCGTCATCCTCGATGACGAGACGTCGTCGAAGTTGCGCGACTTCCTTCACGAATTCGTTGCGTTGCTTGCGTTCGACGATTTTCAACTTCAGCTGCTCAAAGTCTTCCTGTTGACATTCCTGAGTAGTGTGGCATTGATCTTCGTTGCCTGGCATATTTACGGCACCAGAATTACGAAGCAATTTATGAAAGCAGGTAAGAGATTGTGTGAATAACAATCTTATTTTTTTTTATGTTTGTGTACGCACGATAAGATTAACAGGAAAAAAAAAAAACCCACTATCATGGATTGAAGTAATTATAAAATGTTATATTTTTAGGTGCCGCTGAAGATTACAATACATCAAGTGAATAATCTATTGGATATTTGAATTTTATATTTCATTTTTTCTGAACAACAGCAATAATTTGACATCTGATAAATATGGCTGATAAAATCAAGTCTTTCTTCCAAAAGAAGAAGAAAATGCGAAATTTATGAAAGCAGGAAAAGGCTACAAGTAATTACAATAATAATATAAATTTTTGAAGCTAGTTTAATGATGACATATTTAATGATAATGTGAATAAGTTAATAATATGTAATTTTATATTTTATTTAACTTTTTGTTGTTTATAGATTGACAGAGTCTACCAGTACCATTAGTTCGACAGAATATAAAGAACCAGCTAGGAGAGCGGAACCTACAGAAGAAGCCAAAATTGCAGGCCAAGCTGCCTTAGCAAGATTAGAAGCGAAGAAAACTGATAAACCAAGATTTAACACGTATGTAATATTAAAATTATTTTTATTTGTTATCTTTCATAATTTATATTAATAGGATTAATAAAATTTTTGTTTTATTAATAATAAACTTTCTTCGCACAGATCATACGCTGCCATTCAAGCACGAGTTAAACGTGAATTGGAATTAGAAAGAAAACAGCAAGATTTACAACAGACAGAAAATACAGCATTGAAAGAGAAAAAAGACAGAATTGAAGATCCTTCCATTTTTGCAGTTACTGATGTATTCTTTCGTTGTCCATATTTATCGGATGAAATATTGCTTCGAGATGAATGGAAGAAGAAAATTAGAGAATTTTTATATGAACAAGTAAAGGGAGAAGAAGCAGGATTAACAGCATGTTTAATTATTCAAAGTTGCAATACTGGAAAAGAGAAGATTGAGAGCTGTGTAGAAACACTTAACAAATATTTGGACAATATCATTAACAATCCAGATGTTGAAAAGTATTGGAAAATCAGGATGTATAATAGAATATTCCAAGTAATATATTATTATATGTTATATTTTATTTAATAGTAAATTTGATATTAGTTTAAATTAATATAAAATAATTTATACATTTATTCATAAATGCATGTTTTTACAGGAAAAAGTTTTGCCTATTGAGGGAGCGTTAGATTTCTTAAAAGCAGCTGGTTTCGAGCAGCAAAACTTGATACATAATGATAACGAAGAAGATTTCTTAATATGGAATCCTAATAATTGTAATATCGAAAATCTTGTGATCTTACAAGAAGCATTGACCTCTGCAGAACCTATTCCTATTGAATTGGACAGGAATCTGCAAGTATTAATGCCTAACCAAGCTCGCATAAGGAATGAATTGCCATCTAGTTTTTTCACTATTACTCCAGAAGAAATAAAAAAAGAACAACAATTACGGTAAGTTTACATATATTATGCTTAATATGACAAAATGGAAAAAAAATATTAATGTAACATATAATTAAATAATTTATCAGTACGGAAGCTATAGAAAGAAATCAAATGCTAAGAACAAAGGCTATGAGGGAGAAGGATGAGCAGCGTGTACTTAGAAGATATAAATTTGCTGTACTTCGTATTAAATTTCCAGATAGAATAATATTGCAAGGTACTTTTTCAGTACATGAGAAATTCCAGAATGTAATGGAGTATGTTTCTGAAAATCTAATCGATGATAAAGTGTTCTTTTCCTTGATAACACCAGATGGGATTAAGTTAGTAGAAGAGTGTTATGATAAAACACTTTTAGAGTTACGGTTAATTCCTACAGCTATTCTAGAATTCTCATGGAACACTACAGATAAGGAAAATATGCCTAAAGGATATTTGAAGGAAGATGTACTTGCTTATATACAAGATGTTTGAAAATGATACTATGCTCTGATACAGATAACCATTAATTAAAAACACAAAATTTCTTGTTAGTTAGCACTTCGATAAATAATGGAAATATGATTCTGTCACACATAGTGACTCTATTCCATATATAATTATATATTTATATATTTTATGACTACTCCAGTTTTTGGAATATTTTTCTGGTATATTATGCATCATTTTATCATGTATTGTTATTTACATTAAAACGCCATGTACGTATATGAAAATTGATTGAATTATATTGATTAAACTATATTGATTAGATCTTTAATACAAAGAAATTTATATATATAATCATATATTACGTTATCTAAATTTATCTATTAAATTAACTACAATATGTAAATAGAAAATTTTTATTATACAAGTTTTTTATTATACAAGTTATACATATATAATATAAAATGTTAAAATATTGTTGATAAATGTAAATAAGTATTAATAATATTTAATTTTATATACTTTCTTGCAATATCTGTTTTTTCACCAAAATAGGCCTACAGTATTATTTATCTAATCAAAGAACACAGAAGTATAAATGATGAATATGCGTTGATTCTCATCTGGAACATGATAATGTATATACGTTTGTATGTGTATGCATGTATCAAGTTTCAGATTTTATGTTCAAGTTTTAGATTTGTTATCGTGTTCTTTTTTTCTTTTGCAGCACGTTAATATTCTATCCATATTTTAGCACGCTATGCGTCTTTAAATACACGATACCGAAGTGCTGTTCTGCTTTCGGGAAAACCGGTTGTTCATACAGCTATGCTAAACCACCGACAATTTTGTGTCCCTCGGCAATTACTTAAAACCAGTTTGATCATCACCTCTACCGCCCTCAATAATATTTAGGTGTGTGGAATGATAATCTTTCTCTTTCTTATAACGGTACCATGGACAGTAATGCTGCATATAAAAACGGAGTATATGAATATAAGTGCGTTTTGATCTGCGATTCATAGAGAAAAAAAACTCGCTTTTTGTGATAATCAAGTTTGTAATCAATAATGCATTTTTATTTTGCGATAGAAAAATATTAAAAATTTAAAATTTATGTAAAATGTACGCGAAATTTTGCGAATCCAGTTCGATTTCACGAGTCGACCCGCATGTTGCGTACAATAATCGACTCGGCACTCCCAAATGCGTGCAAACGCAATACGCACCGGCTGTTTCGCGCCTATTGTTACATTTACGCTTTTTCAAGCATATTGTTTGAACCACGGACCGCTTCGTATTTCCTGTTGCGTGCCAGAATGGGGCTTAACGTTGTATTTGGGCGCGTGCGATTCTGTACGAGGAATTTTTTTACCTTTCACGTGCATACATGACACGTGGAAATCGAGAAATTTCGCAATATCAAAAATATATAATATTGTGTTGCAGTCAGCAGAGAGATTTCTTTGCCAGAACTCAGACTAAATTTTTTTGCATTTTTATGTTACAGATTTCTTGATATATTATCAGAAAAATTTATTGCAAAAAACTGGAATTAATATTCATAAATTGAATATCTATTACTATTGAATTTTTTATGTCATATTTCCATTATTTAAGACTTAAACATGTTGTTATTTAGATACTTAATTCATGCCGATAATAACTATATCGGCTCGATTTCCATTGTATTTTTTTTTACATGAAATGGATTTTCGTAGCGTCTTCTGTATACAACAATAGACTTTCTTGTCGATGTTCCGGCTTTATTCCTCAATTTACCACAGTCTCGTGGTCAATTTCTCATGTCGATTAGCATCATGCGTTGTGGTATCGATGGTTCTTCGATCTTTTCATCACACAAAGGTGTGGATGGCTGTCAATTTCGAGAATACGACAAATTTATTACAACATGTAAATATAGTAGGATTATTATCGCATAAGAGCTTATAAAACATGCGAAAGAAGCTATTACAATATTTTACATTTTCTGAACAATCAATATTTCATGCTTCTGTGCACTTCCTTAATTATTATAGAACAGGTAGCTTCCTAAAGAATTCAAAAGTCTAAATATGTCTGGAAAGATTAGACAAATAGGTGGAAGGATGTATAAATATATGTATATATTCTTTTTCTTTAATATGTTATTCTCTTATTTGAAATATCATTTAGAATTATTTTTGTCGACCATATTCCTACTCGAATGAATAACTCTTCTGTCAATTAATTTTTTAACAATTTGCTGTGGATAAAAAAATGAGTAAGATTCTAAAGTTATTGTAGCGTAATTGTAATCTCGCATTATTCTTGTTTAAGGAAGATGTAAAAGGATATGACGATAATTTTTCTATACGGGTGCTGTAAAGTATGATTGCGCCACGCGGTCATTTGCGGGATAAATCATCAGATTTACGCGGTTCGTAATGACAGAACGTGATATGCTTATGATTTTCAGTATCCGTTCGACTGTGCGATATAATGGAATGTAATGGTTCGCTTATTAGAATGTGTGCATGGCCGCGGGGGATGCGTTTATATAAATGCTCTCGTGTGCGCGAACGTGCGTCTGTTCATATAATCTCGCATACCGCGAATCCCATCGCCCTTTTGCAACCCACTTAACGATCTAGGCACACCTGTTGCAGAAACAGGTGGTAATGATCGCGCAGAGCGAGTTTTTCTTGATTAAGGAAGAGTGATATCGCGGGCGTGGAATTTCTGTCAAGAAATCTTAACTTGCGCTAAAAAAAATTAATGTTCCGAGCTCTCTTGTATAAGAACAAAACAAAATACTTTCAATCCGTTCTCTTCGTCAACTCTCACTAAAGTTTGAATAAAATTACACAATAATTATATTACTATAAATATAATTTTTTTTTCGCTATTCTTTTTTGCTAATTTAAATTTATTTTTTCTTAATAGGTATTGAATGCAAAATTATGAACAAAACGTAAAAAGACCTTTGAATATAATGCGGTCTAATTTTAATTAAAACTAAGAATTCCAAAGATTTTTTAGAAGTACTTCGTATAACGGGATGATTCTTCAACACTGTGATTATACACGTGATGATGTCGAAATGTACAAAATGATAAAGTCCAACGAAGGTGATAATTAGCTTACGCATGCCAAGGAAAATGAGAGAGGATAATATCGTGTAAGGCATGTAATTGCAATCGAATAATGAAATAAAAGAGAAGAAGCTGCATATCGGAAGCGCGAATGGTGCCTGAGGCGTTTATGAGAGCAGATCGTCGAAGGACTCGGGATAGTGATAGATAGACAGATAGAGTGAATTCAAACGAGTATCCACCCATCCTGCTTAGAATCTCGTCTACCGGAAATTTGCAGTTACCTTGCATTCCTTCCAGGGTCGAACGTCCTGGAGATGCGAGGATCGTTAATCGTTCCTGAAACGGGATTTTCAATCCGTTGCAAAGATAATTTTCATTCATCGGGAAAGTAGATTTGTCGATAAAAAATATTGGTCGCGAATAATGATTGATAAATGCGCATGCAAACGATTCTTGCAAACATGAGACTTGAAAAGGAGATAGGTAATATTGCATTTTCTTAAAAGATTTATTTTTTATAACATAATTTCTCATTATATTAAAACATTGTGGATCGCGTTATATTCATTGCAAAATCTTATTCTCGCATTTTCAAATCTATATTCTAAACTGTATATACATATATTATATATAAGATATAAATTTATTTTTTAAAGTTATAAATTTATTATTAATTGTAATATTTTATTTAAAATGTCTTTTAAAAGAGTGAAATGTACAATATTTTGTTAAATTATTTGGCGCTGCAAACGTCATACATATTTTTATTTGAAAATAATGGCGCGTAAAATTGAAATATTTAAAAAACGTCAATTATTTTTCGGTTCTCTAAAAATTAAAGACATCGACTTTCATCTTTGATTCGCATAATATTGATATCAGCATGAGACAATAATATTAACATTTTTTTTTACTTATTTTATACCTGTAAAAAGTTGGAAAAATATACGCATGTGCGTATACATGTGTGCATCCGCGTGCGACCAATACGAGCGCGCGCCCTCCGGCGGCCATTTTGCGCAGCCTCGCTTTCGCGCCGAGTCGCGTGGCTCTCTCCGCGGTCGCATCACATCGGTGCGCGCCGCCTGTCGCGCCTGATGTTCGGTGGGAGTTTGACGCTTTTCGCCGCAGTCGAGTCAGTCCTGTTTCTCGTTCGCGGTTATTAACGAAAGGAAAGTTCGACGCGAAAATCAATCGTGAATAATCATGAAATGTGACATCCGATATCGAAGCGCGAAGTTGTTTGCTTGTCAGTGATAGTGACGATTAACCTCGCGGAATCGACATATCGACGCTCGCGAAATTTGCGATATTTTCTGTGCACAAGTTCGCGCGGTTCATCGATCGACAAAATCGACGTACGCGTTTTCATCGACGCGGCTTGATCGTGGATATATTAAATTGTCGGCGGAAACGGTACCGCGATTGTGGTCCAGCCAGTTTATCCAGCTTGTCCACGACGTGTCTGCTTGTCAATCAACCGCTTTATCACCGGTAATTATCGATGCAACGCGGGGGCTTCACGACAGTCGCTTCCTTGAATTCGCGAGATGAAAATTTAGTGAAGGTAAGCGTAAAATGAAGTCTCTTTTTAATTGACATGTACAAGGGGAATCGCATATATTCGAATAACTTATTTGAGATTAATTGACGAAGCGTATTATATTGATAAAACACGTACGCTTGATTATATTTCATGAAACATAACTTAACCAAAGCAACTTTGATGTATTTGAACAAAATTGTTAGATTTATACATTTTTTAATGTAATTAAAAATATTACTTTTTTATATATGTGTTATTTAAGTATTTGCATTTAAGTGTACACAAGAAATACGAAAGTTATTCGTTTATAAAGGTACATAATGGCTGTAATTTTGCAATGAAAGATTGCATCGTTATAAACTTGCGTAACAAAGCGCGTTAATAAGGACGTAACCGCGTAAACATAGCAAGGACCATCTGCGCGCGAAAATGACAGGAATTTAAATCGCACGATCTCATCACGATGATAAGCGACCTTGATTACGTAGTGCGACAATGACATCTTTTGTAAGACAAAATGCTTTTTGCTTTTTGCACGTAATCGCTTCGCGTGTTCGACGCGAAAAATTGATTTAACTTAATCTTGCATTTTCGGCAAGATATGAATTGTCATTATTTATTGTATTATATGTATAGGTAAGCTTATACACGATATCATACTTAAATATACAATACGAATAGCTATAT